ATCAAATCAGTGTGGGTGTGAAGAGATGTCCATTTTTCACATTTGAATGATATTTACCAAAGGACATTACTATTCGAGACAAGAGTAAACCTCATATTTTCCAATGAACTTTCAGGACACATCACATCTGACAGGCACAAAATAGCCTCTGCATTCTTTTTGGATTTCTGTCATGGAATGACGCTCTAATTATAGACTTTCCCTCAATCGATAGAATGATCATAGCACTAAATTGATGGCTCATGCTACGAGGGTTACTGGGAAAGTAATGCACAATAATAATAAAAAAATTAAATGTGTTCATGCTAGGTCCATATTTAAGACCTGCGTAAATGAAATTTCCCGCCAAAATTTCGCAAGTTTGACAAATATCTGCTGGGAGACACCAGCAAGAGACACGTTCAAAATGGCTGCCACACTTCAGGTGTGTGAGAAGCAGAGAGCAGTAATTGAATTCCTTGGTTGGGAGGGTGCAAATCCTGCGGATATCCGCTGCCACTCGATAGTTTCTCATGGTGACGCCTGCGTTGATGACAGCGTTGTCAGACGATGGTCGAGTCTCATCGCATCTGGAGAGACGAAGGTTAAAGACAAGGCGCGATCGGGACGACCCATCGCTGCCGTCACCGACGAGAGCATCAAGAAAGTGGTTGAAAGAAGTCCTTGTCGTCATTTGGGCGATATGCCGATTGATGTTTCGGACCTGGCGCCGTCCGACTACATCCTCTTCGGACCCATGAATGACGACCACAGAGGACATCACTCCGAGAATGATGATGTGAAGAATGTGTGTATTCCCCTCAGAGGGAATACACAGGAAGGAAATTTAGGATACTTCTTCCTCTCTCAAATCGGAATCGCTCCGGTAAATCTGAAGCTTCATCTCTCTGGGGTTGTGGAGATCACGGAATCTAGCTTTTCTGAGATGTCCATTCCATTCTGCTATTTTTTTCTACCCCCACAGAGTAGCTACTCCTGGGAAGTTTTCGGAGAAAGCGAACTAGCAAATGAAAGATATTGACCTGGAGGTGACAAAAAGTGACATTTTTATTGCTTCCATTGCCCCATTTCGCCATAAAACATGTAAACAGACATTTGTGGTTCTGACATCGCACTCAGAGAAATCAATAAATCGAGATGAAATACTTCTCTCAATTTTCGCGTTTCGATTTATTTCTCTCAAGAGAAAAAGACATCAACTGGATTTTCGATTTATATCTCTAGCTTCCCGACCGTGCAGGGTCGCCTGAAACTTGTTCGCAAAACCAAAATGCGTCTATAGCCGAGTAGGAAGGCTATTTTGAGCGGCCCTGCATCGTCTAGACACATGTTAACCCCCGTATTCCACTTCTTCCTGCCGAGGAATCCTCGGGGCAATGCATTGACAGCCGAGGGATTCAGCCTGCGTGCATGGCCTCTTCGCCACTTCACCTTCCCTCCGACCCGTGCGAGTGGCGAGTGCGCCTCGAAGGGATTCCCATGTAACCGCTTACTTCATTCAGAGAGTCCAGTTTCATACGGTGTTTGTATTCCGTTTGGTGCGTTGGTGGTGCGACACGTATCGCCAATGTGAGATCCGACTGTTTTCTATACATATTTAACAGTCCTTTAAGAATACATGGTTTCCTATGGGAGAAAAAGAGCTCCTTCGCTAAAAGCCCCATTTTCTCCCCTGAATGAGTTTCGTGTATTCCGGCTTTAAGCTCAAAAGCCACTATATTCCCACAATGGGACATGCAAGGCAAATTACGATGAGGCTGAAGTTCATCACGAAACGTTCAACGCGGCCGAAGTGCATAATATACCTGACCTATACACGCAGAATCAAATTAATGCATTTTCGTCGAGAAAAAATTTGTCCTCCATGTGATGCGTTTTTATCGCATCCAACATTTGATGCAATAGCCGCATCCAACATTTGATGCAATAGCCGCATCCAAAATTCGATGCGATGAAGACGCATCACATGCTGGACAGATTTTTTTCGCGAGAAAAAATGCATCGAACTGAGGCACTGAATTTCCTGTGCGTCTGCACGCAATCTCGGCTCTGATTCTCGCGGTTTTTCCGTACGCATAAGCCAGATGTATTAGACGGGGTGCCACGGAAAACGCGGTCATTCGCGTTACGCCCTGTGCATATTACACCGATGGCCCATGTGGACCTGTTTGGCTCGGGTATGTGGGTCGAGCCTGGATCAGTTGTCGGTTCGGAGGTGAAGACGATTGGCTAGGGGATGAATTGCTTATTGGCCATGCCAAAAATTGCTTACTGCTCTGGCACTCTAATCCGTAGGTTTCATGTCCCAAGGGGAAAGTAATAGTTCAGGAGAAGCGTCGTTTTCACCATTGGGATATGAAGAAACTTTTATTATCTAAAGTGTAGACTGAAACATCGCCATAGACCATTTCTTTGGTGCTTGCAAATGTGACGAAGAATGGCTAAAATACCTCAGAATAACGCAAAACGTAAGCGCCCAGTCCTTCCCTCGAAAAATGGCATTTTCCATATGCGGCTAATCTCTCAAGAAAATTCGTCCGGGAAACCAAGAAGGGCATACGCACAGTTTCCAAAAATCATCCCACCCCCTCGCCTATGGCCTCGGAATTCACTGTGGAATACTTCGACGAGGCCCTGGAAAAAATGAAGGCAGGCAGGGCAGCGGGCCCGGATCGCATCCCCCCGGACTTCCTAAAACACCTGGGCCCCAAGGCCAAAAAATGGCTGACACACCTCTTCAATGCAATCAAAGACACCGGCGTCATACCCGGGATATGGCATAAGGCTGATGTTATAGCCATTCCCAAGCCTGGGGACAGACCGAGAGATGATCCCAAAAATTATCGACCGATCTCTCTCCCCTGTACGACCCTCAAGCTCCTAGAAAGATTGATCTTAGGACGAATCACTCCTATACTCAGTAAAATTCTCCCTCCGGAACAAGCCGGCTTTCGCGAAGGAAGGAACTGCTGCGAGCAAGTCTTGTCCCTAACATCCCATATCGAAGCCGCATNATCCACCAAGCCTCCCCAGAAGCCTTGCAATGGCTCAGAGACTTGCCCATCACGTTGTGACTGTGTTTCTGCTACCGCTGCCCCTCATGATACATTGGTTGGAATAAAGTCACATTTATCCTCCTCCATATGAGCTCATGCGTGCTAAAGAGGCAAAAACCATTATTTTCCCGAATTGAAACTGATCCATATTCCGGGCTACCGCACGTGCATTGCGCACGTGCACGTGCATGAGAAGCACGTCCACTCGCCACGCACAGACGCCATTCATTGTTTGATGATTCTGTTCGACTTGAAATTACTGAATCCATCTCCCCCGCCTCTTTCGCTTCGTGCTAAAATTGAATTCCTTCTCCTGACGGGATTCCTCTCGTAACGCAATTTCCGTTTCGTGAAAAAGGGAACGGTGGGGTTTCTCAGCCGCGCACTTTTGTTTGCCTACTCGGTCGTGTCGTCACTACGAGCATATTTTCGAGTTTGGGAGCTCTGGCAGACCCTGTTACGATATTTCGACGTTCGAACGTCAAGATGAGATCAGACTTCGTCTCGCTACGAGGGACTACTACCTGGTCTCGACGGTAACAACCGTGAATACAATACGACCTACGGGATCATTTCAAGTCTTCCATGAGAAATAATGAAAATTGAAAAGCATGACAGTTCACGATGTGTATTAGAAATTCTTACACTTGAGAAACTATCGCAAGGTGCATCGACAGTCCCTACGAATTTCGTAGTCTGTCCCAGTCGAAATCGTCCAAGCAAATCAACATTCAAGCTGATGCGTCTTGCGATGAAGAATCGGTGGAAGGACATCGCACGAGGAGACGAGGGAGATGCCGATGAACATACCGAGGCAACCAAGGAATCGCCCCATCGCCTGGATGGGGATCGTGATGGATGTGGTGGAAGGCAGGCAGGCATCCGACCGAGAACCCCCTTCCCCTTCTCGCGTCTGTTGGCCGCTCGTGGCATTAGTCCATGTCCGTGAGTGGGAATTTCCGTCGACTCGACGAGCCCGAAAAACCAGTCGGAAACGTCAACCCCACACATTTAATCATAAGGATCAAAGGCGTTTACGGGAGTTAAGTACTTAAAGTAAGAGTATGAGGTTAGGTTTTGAGGAGTGAATAAGACTTAATCAGTTGGGATATGTATAAAAACCAAACACTTGTGGGTTTTATAAGAAATAATAATATTCTAATAATAATAATAAAATACCTGTATGTGTGAACCAGATTCATATCTTCATGTGCGAACCCAATACACATTTTCTATGCGCAAACCCCAAGTTTATTCTATATATGTGAACTCCATACTTATTCTCAATATGTTGAAATCAAGTATTTTTGCTTTGAATCCAACAGTAGTTACTGATAGTGGAAACGAAGACATGAAGAAAAAACGTGACGTATTTTTAATTATGCGAGAGAAGGCAACGTACCGATCGAAGGAACGACAGAGCGTCATGCTCCCAATATCAACTAATCAGCTCGTCAATAAATTCTCCCGATACCGATCAATAGGTTCATTAATAGATGCCCCCAATGTCAGTCACCGATTTTGGAGGAGCTGACTTCAAGGATATTTCCATCACCGAGGAGACGATCGTGAGCGGGAATGCGTTAAGGGTGGGCAAGGCGACCGGCCCGACCCCCTCTCTTGCTGGTCTTCTCATGCTTCCATCATGTTTAGAGCACGAGCTCTGGCAGACCTTGGGAAATGTTTGTTACCGCAACGATACTTCGACGTTCCAGCATCGCACGAGACAGAACCTCGTCTCGCTGCGACTGTCAACCGAATGCGGCCGATGCGATCATTGCTCCTCTTCCATGAGAACTAATGCAATTTGAAAAGCATGAACCTGTTCACGGTGTGAATTAGGAATTCTCACACTTGAGAAACTATAACAAGGTGCATTGAGAGTCTCCACATTTTTCGTAGTTACATCTCTGTCCAAGTCGAAATCTTCCAAACAGATCATCATCATTCCACGGCGATGCGTCTTGCGATGAAGAATCGGATAAGTCGGTCGAGGGTTTCGTATAAGGAGACGAGGGAGATGCCGAGGAACATACCAAGGCAGCCACCGAATTCCCCCACCGCCTGGATGAGATCGTAGACCTCCTTCTCGACCAGAATTTCGATGATATCCTCAGAGAAATAGATCCAGAGATAGCTATATTTGTTGAAAGCTTCATTCGGAGTCCTCACGTCCACAGCGTAGCGGAGGCGATGGCAGGGTGGCGGACAGAGGCAGTTCGTATGCAACTGATGACCATATGCCATTCCATAATTAAATAAGCGTGCAAGCATTACGATATCCCCAATGTGATCGCACACCGGCAAAGACACGTTCATAGACGAAAGTCGACACCGCAGGGGGAAAATGGAGAACCATTCCGATAGGCACGTCTCCATGCACTGCAGAAGGAAAGCTAAAGAAATAGTATGCGGTCGCGAAACTCATGTGATAAAACCCATTTCTTACTTCGTCTCTGCTGTATCCGTCCATGGACTCGCAGGGATAGTTCTGGGTGTGGAGTTGATCGACTTCTTTGGCCGAGAGGACCACGTGGTTATACGTTCCTGGCGTCACCCTGACCGGAGTATAAGAAGACTTTACGTATGTGGAGGCCCATCCCAGGTCACGATGGATCTTCACTTCCCAGGACACTGTGTCAATGTTCTCTGTCCTCGAGGAGTTTCCGAATTGGAGCTCATATCCGGAGGTTTGCCCTCCGAATCCTAGGCTCGCATTGGGATGAAAAGTGTAACATAGGCTCAATTCGAAATCCGTCTTCTTATAGTCTCTTTGGTTGATGAAGAATGTTGGCCGCCATTCTCCACCTGCTCCATGGAAAGTAGTTCAACACACCGCTCATCGTATAAGGCTCCCCTGATGCCATGTTAGGTATTCCCAGATTTTCAGATTAGACGTATAAAAAGATATGAGGCTATCTTCCCTGGAATATATCTGTCCTTGATCAATCTTATTTGAATTGAACACTTAGGTCTTCACATGGAGCGCTGTTATGGGCAAAGTCACTCTAGCAGTCCCAAACCTTTAAAAAAATGTTAAAACATTTTTTCTTCAAATTCTCAGTGATTCATGACTTGCCTTCGCTGTGGTAGACGTCACTCCAACCGGATCCTCCATTTGGGTAACAATCATGAATTCCGTTCAATGTGCATCGTCCAATAATCTCATTTGGAAGGAATGCAAATTTTTCGACAGATGTGGAGAAGTTGTAGAATGATTCCAGTTTCTCTTCACTTTTCAACGATGGCGTCCGACAGACGGTGATTTTGGGAGCGGGAAAATTCTGTCGTTCTTCTAACCGATAGATCGTCGTCGTTGGATTACTTTGGTATCGCACCAAATACTGCAGCGCCTGTGACGTTCAATATATTGTTACAATACGTTTCTCGCCACTGTACAGAATGGGATTCTAACCTGAAATGTAGTGAGGAGTACTGCGAAGGAATAGACGAGACAAGTTAGAGTCATGCTTCTCTGCATTTTCTGCGGAACTTCTTTTGAGCACCTCTTGGATCTGAAGATGCAAAAATGAGACTGAGACTCGTTAGCAGAGGTAGGACTGGTGCTTGACAGCACCCTGTTTTTCTTTATAATGGACTCCCCAAGTCAGGATCAGCGCCTCATCAACGATGCGTCGATTCCGCTGCTTTCTCCAAGTCGGACCTGTGTTATGAGAACATATTCGCCGTCGGTGGAAGTGCTTCTGAGGACCGTAGTGTTTTTCTTTCAGTTTTCACTTTCTACTTGGGAATCCTGAGGCGAGGGAGTCCCAGTCATGTTCTCATTCGTGCATGCTGCATTGCATGAATTCAACTTCTACCCGAACCCGAATATGAAGACACATTTTCCTAAAAATTATTTTAGGGGCAAAAATCAGATATGTTCAATTGACTTTCGGGAGCGCAAGTGGACATATGCATGAGACTTCGTCTATTTATGAATATATTTAACTCTAACAAAAGAATCCATTGACGAATATAATTTTCGCTTGGGGTTTCCATTCATTATTTTCCCGTGTAAATATTTTAGCACACGCACTCCGATTTCTGAAACTCTACCTAATACTATTAATATATAATTTTCCTATTGAGAAAATACGTCAATCGTGAATGCAGCTCATGGCGCTTTACTTCTCAGTTTAGTTGAAGAAAACGTGTGTATAGAAATGGCATTACCCTACGCATCCGAAGGCGGATTGGGCAAGGCCAAGGAGATTTTTCCCCTCTACATTCCAATTGGAATGGTGAAGGAAAATTTTCCTTGCCGTTTCACTGCTGCAAACATATTTGAAACCAATTGGCTGCCATTAGCATGTCAGAGCGTGCAAACTTCATTCTTTCAACCTTTGACCAGGAATTCACGATTGCCTCTCTTTCTGTTTTCACAGTTTTTTTCATTCATTTGTCTCGCGTATTCATCTAATCCGTATCTCTATCCCTAGGTAAAGTGATGGAAATCCATGATCAGAAGGGCAAGCCCGTGACCAGCCAGCCCAGCGACCGCGGAAGTCCCCCGACAGGAATCCTGACAAGAAGTTCAAATTTACCAGTTTAATTCTTTCCTATTGTTATTCTCGTTGTCGATTCCAGACAAAATGTGGAATGGGGTGTCGGGTTGTGAAAAAAATCTCTCTTACAACGCACATGAGTAATTCTTCAAATCGCTGGCAAATATTTCATGACGATTGAACTGGGATTTTCTACGCATGTAAAACGTTGAAAATTGAAATTACGAACTTCATGCGACATGCGTTCTAAAGTGAAAATTTGTTTCGTCTATGATCTCCTCGATCGCTCGATGCTTGGGTTGGCAGTAGAAGGTTTCGTCCCCACGTGATCTTTCTCTTGGGAGAGACTTTTGATGTAACATGCAGATAAAATGTAAATAAGATGGACTTAATAAGCTTAGGAGAACTAGGGTGGGATGAGGTGGCTGAGGCTGGACCTTCTTTAACCTTTACAGGCCGAAAGGTAAGTATGCCCATTCCTAAGTGTATTGCCAGAGCGGCAAATGGAGTTCTCTTAGTGAATACGGTTTTCATTTCATCGTTTTGAAATTGACTGTTTATAAGGAATTAATTTTTCTCCAAAAGATTGCGTGCTTTTGCACTTCACATTTAAATACCAACAGTTAAATACCGGTCGTGAAGCAACACAGGACGGTTTTCATTTCATCGTTTTGAAATTGACTGTTTATAAGGAATTAATTTTTCTCCAAAAGATTGCGTGCTTTTGCACTTCACATTTAAATACCAACAGTTAAATACCGGTCGTGAAGCAACACAGGCGGATTTAAATACAGTACGATAATGATTAAACGATGGCGTTCGGCTGACGGTGATTCCGGGAACTTTGAAACTGTCGTTCCTCTATTAGATAAGTAGTCATTGTCGGCGTTCTGTGGTATCGCAAGAACTTCAATGCGATCCCATCGTCGCAAAGCGATATTCCCACGGGTGTGGAAAAAGAGGACACTCACATGAACCGTCGTGAGGAGGACTGCATAGAAATAGCCGAGAAGAGTTAGAATCCTGTTTCTTTTCTTTTCCGAAGGAACTTCTCACGAACCCATCCTGAGCTGTGGATGCAAGAATGCAACTGGCAGATATGCATGCAGAAAAGGATGGACGTCGAGAAGGGGGGGGGGTTTGTTGAAGCTGTCCTTATAACTTCCCCTGCATTTAGCGCTGTCGTATGCGCTGATAAGACGATGAAAAGCTTTGAACAGCCTGTCTTCATGCGAAGACGTGTGCATTTTATCCCCGGTTCCCTCCAGGAAGTTTTTTAATCGAATATCGATGCGGCAGTCCTTCCATTCAGCTTGGAAGCAACCTGTCATGCTTTCATCGTTTCTATGTCAATCAAGAGAAAACGGATTACCTCAGAAGAACTTGGAACATTTACGGACTCGTCATGCGAAGTGAGTTCGATACCTTCAGGTGCACGAAACGTAAGAAAACAAAGCAGGAGATCCAAGCCAACTTCATGAAGAGGTTGAATGTAACGGAGCAGACCACATGGTTGAGTGAGAAAATTGAGAGGGCCTGCTTTTGGGAATATTCCAGGAGAACTGAGTTTGGTTAATTGAATATGTGATATCAAAGGAGAATGTATGACAGAAATCCAATGGCATTCTGTGCCAAATATAGCTTCCTTCGCAGTTGAAGAAAAATTTTGTAAATTGTAATAGGGGCTTGAAAATAACGCTTTCGAAGAAATGGAATAGTGCCTGAGGAGAAGCTTAACACGCAAGAAAACGGACAGATCCCCAGGTATTAAATCAAGCAGATGAGGAAACTAAGAAATGTAACTATTCACTGATTCGTAAGTCACTCGGACTTTGACATGGTGGTCACGAAATTTGCCGACGCATTTTTTTTAATAGTCCAGATGGGAGGGAAAATATTTAGCGGGCAGTGTCGGCAAAAATGCATGGGATCAATAGAGATGTTCAGTATTTGGCATGAACGTTGATGAGTGTGGTCCATCCCATCGATTCGGTATCAAAAAGTTTAACAGAGATCTTTCGATAATTCCAGCAACATGTCGGCTGCCTATGGAATGAAACGCTCGCAGGATTTGAACGAGCGACGAAACTTAATTTTTCAGTTAATCTATTTGTAATATTCATTCAAAGTGTTCATTCATTCAAATTTTTTTTGTTTTCGGTGCCCCGTTTCGCGATAAAAAATGATAATAGATGCTGTTGATTTAGGCTTAGCGCGACGACTCCGGCCCCGGCCTCCAGTATTGCCGGATATCGTGGCGTATTTATGCCAGTTTCATGATTTCCTCGACCTTAATATAGGTGTCTAGATCTTCCGTTTTTTTTTAAACTGAGATAGTTTCGTGTCGAACTCATTAGATGAGCTGAGATTGAAATTGTGTCTAGCAGTGGCCGATCGATTGGGTGGGATGTGGACATTCAGACGACCATAAATTGCCATAATGGCGGCCATCTGAATGTCATGCTTTCTGGAGTCATTTTCTTCTGGGAACGAGTCAGGATGGTTCGAGGAACTCTGGATTGGCCAAGCGTTTTTTGTCCGTAGCAAAATGGTACATGAAACTTGAAGAATATTTACTATTGTAGTTCTTAGTAGTTTAGTAGTGTAGCACATGTACTGTAGCATCTTGTACTCTAGCACTTAGTATTCCAAGAGTGGTTTTAGTCATTCATGGACTTGTTTTGTTTGGAGTATGTATTTGCCATGCAGTAAATTTCGTAGCCTAAGCTACTTCTGCACGTTATCGCCCTCTATAGCATAAAATATCTCCTAACGGTACAGTAGTGCCTGAATGGCCAGAGTATAATTGGTTTGTTGGTGGCATTTTCCAGAATTTCTTTTTTCAAAATAATTCCGTAGAGCTTTTCACAGAAGAAGCAAAAATTCATTTTACTTATGTCAAAAAGTTTTCAGAATCCTTGGGGATTTGAATTTATATAATAAATATATGAATTCATCCCCAAGAATTAAAATATATGAATTTTCCTTTCCAGGCAGGCTTTCAAGGGAATCCTGATTTTATTTTATGTGCGCAGTGAAACATGTACCCGTTAGAGTCCCAAAATAAAATCCTGAACAACCTCATGAAAATTAATAGCAAGTTCAATGTCACTGTAGATGAAAGAGATATGAAGTTGCCTTTTCTATTTTCAAATCCTAAATTTCATAAAACTCCTATCAAATTTCGATTCATAGCGAGTTCTGTAGGTTCTTGTCTGAAGGGTTCTGAACTTCTTTTAAACGGCATTCTTGACAGGCTGTGGGAAAATCAGACTGAGGTGCAAGAATTGCCAATGTTATTGGATGATTAATAACAACAGGAAGGTGCTGCAAGC